CCCATAAGGGGGTGATGAGTGCCCAGCCTGTGCACACTCGGTAATCAGGGAACTTCAAGGAGCATGTACAAATGCCAGCTAGAGGGTGGGGGAGGTGGTCACATCATATAGCTCGGTGTAGGGCACTTATTCCCTTTAATCTGCCCTTGCTACCACTAATAGTCAGAATCTTTCTAACCTGAAAGTTTTTATTCCAAACTGTATGGTAGATGTGGATACTCCCTTCCTGAATGATTAGAGGGACTCAAATTTTCTCTACCCTACTTCTCAGAAAAAGCCTCCCAAGCGTAGAGGCTGTGTAAAAGGTATTGCTGTTATTACAGCCACAGTGCCTAGCAGTTAAAGATGTAGACCTTGAATTCATTGTGTTGGACTCTACACAAGCACAAAAAAGGCAACAAATTGAGAATTGAGTCATATTTTTGTCTGACACGCTTTCCAGGCAGAGAGGAACAAGGTGTTGGTGCCTGCTTGTGATGAAATTACTGAATTAACTTTTCAGTTATGCTTTACAGTGTTAGATGCCTGCTTCCACCCTTACATCACTTTCACAATAGTGATGCCTCACTGAATCCATCAGAGATGCTAATGATTTCAAAATGATATAAAGGAAAGAAGAATCAGGTCTAAATGTCAGCCTACTTAATTATGTAAGTAATTTATCAAAACCTACTGCTCACGCACAAATAACAGATCCATTACATAACAATCCTGTGACTTATAATAGGAAGCTTTCTGTCATCAGGCTTAATATTAAATATGGATTCTTCATGGTAGTCAGTGACAACATAATCAATTATCAGCTACAGAGGAGCCTTTAAGGTGTACCCTGCCAATGCAGATTAAGCTGATATTGACTCCTGGATAGGCGAATATCAAGATTTATTGACCTGAAAGTTAAATATTAACTGAGGAGAAGCCAAGGTCAATATTCTCCTAGAGCCACAATAAATCCTCATGTTCATCAAAGAAAAAAAAAGTGGATCTGACATTGCACCTACTGAAGTCAATGGGCCAGATCCTCAGTCTCAAAGTCAGCTACCTAGCACTGCTGAGAGTAACTGAGGACTGCCAGAGATGGAGGGGAAACTGTAGGATGCATGGCAGAGGTGAGAGAGAGCAGAGTGCAACACACTGCACTTTGCCTGAGACCAGAAGTCCCTATGGAAACACTCTTAGGCTGGGTACAGACATTCAAAAAGCCCAAGGCAGAATCAGTCTAAGCTAGTTTTCTGTAAGCGGTGTAGTTTGGATCGGTAGTGAACAGAGCACACATTCGCCCGTTGGTGGGGAGGCAAATCTTAGACCAAGTTCTGCCATTTTTAGACCAGTTTTTGTATGCCAAACTTCTGTTCTGTTATGGGTATAGACCAGTTTCCAATCACTTATACTGGTAAAAGTGTAATCTCTGTACCTGACCCAAGTGGTGTTACTTAAAGCAGCCCAAGGCTGCATTAAGTAATGCTTGGAAATGATTTAGCCTCTGGACAACTGAGGGCTGGGAGAGTAGTTCGACGCCTCACCTTTGTTCTTCTCAACTATACTGAGCTTGGTCCAATATGTTCAGACAAAACCCTTTCATTTAAGCACCTTAAGCGTGGAGAAATATCAGTTTTGATTCATCCCTTTTAAAATACCTTAAAAGAGAAACTAAAAGATAAAAGGAACTCCTCCTCCCACCCCTATATCTCTTAAGAAATTAACAATTTCAGGGGATTCACTGAAACCAGTCAGAATTTAACATCTCATGAGTAAGCTAAATGCATAATGCCATTGCCTTCTTTTCAGAGAGAGTCTCAAAGCCAAAACTGATTAACTTTGGTTGCCCAAGGTTAGATACTAACCCATACTTATATCTTTCTTGCTCTGTTTACAACTATCGTGTCAATAGGCCAAATTATTCCCCTACTGTAGCTACCTTGAACTCAACAAAACCTAGGTGAGAGCTTAAATAGGATTTTTCAGACCCAACTTTTGAAAATCTGGCCTAAAGACGAGATTCAGTTTGGCCATACAAACACCTATATTTAGAATCTGAATATCTGAAACTGAAGTAGTTTGTCCCCTGAAGACAATCCAAATGACCAAATTTATGGTAATATAGCTATGCAGCTCCAAAAAGCAATCCCCAAAAAAGTGGCAGGGGGGAGAGGAAACAGGTTTCCACGAGGAATATCGGAACCACTAGCCTTCTAGCCCCAACACCCTTGCACCCATGGCCACTCAATAGCTCAACCTTAGCAGGAAGGATTGAGGGTAGCCCCATCTTGCTCTCCCTTTGCTGCAAACATACAGACTGGTTACCACAGTAACCTGGGTATATTTCTTATAAATAGGATTAAGGTTGAAGTAAATTTTAATCCCTTTGTAAGAGATGGAAGAGATGTAGGTTTGAACTCCTGGGCAAATCCTATATTTGCAAAAGTAGCATCATCAGTATTCTGATATGAGCTCAATGCTGTTAGCATGAGTTAGGAGTACCCCAAGTGTATCTAATGGATTAGTGACCTCAGGAAATTCAACACTTTCCCCACACTTACCTGAATTGTAGCAGAATGTAGATGGGAGTCAGGCACATAGCTGGTCAAACTGGAGCACTTATGAACACAAACAGAAGACCAAGTTCAGGCACCAAGGAAACTCTGCAGTCCAAAATGGAGATACCTACTCTATTTTGTGGCTGCTGGAGAGGGCTAATCCGAATCACTCTTTGGAATTTAGGTGACTAAATTTTACCTATGTGTTCAAAGTGACTCTGGACCTAGGGTCTGAATCGCCAAGGCCATACAACCAATCAGTGGTGATCCAGGAATTGAATTTTACTCCTGGTCACATGCTCAGCATATTAACTCACAGCCATTCCAATAAATGTTCAAAAAAATCATTTTACAGCCTGAATATAAATATTAAGTAGCATATCATAGGATTCAGTCTGATTCCTTTGGCATTAATGAGTCTACAGTTTTTAGCCAGTCCCAAATACTAAGGCATTTTCCTCGTAATTCTCATTATTTCACTATTTTCCCCTGAGTAATTTGTATAGAATGATGGATAAAGAATTTATACAGATAAACAAGGTTTTCAATAGGCAAACTGCAATCTATAAAAAAAAAAAATGAATGTTGAAGGACACAATCCAGTTTCTGAGAAAGGATTGTTCAGATAATTATATTCATTGCTGCATTCTCTCATGAACTTCTACCTGAGTCTTCAGGATGTCTCTGCTCTAATGCCTTTGCCACTTAACACCAACTGTGAGCAAACACTGCTGAATTTTGTTCATTTTATGGTTGCTTTACTTATAAATTACATATAGCTTGGAACCTCCTAATGCTACTAGGTTTTTTTACATTTCTATCTCCAGAGTCACTGCACTTTCCCTCATTTGTTTTATTTTATCATATCTAAACAATCACTTTTCATCTCCACAGAACACTATGATGAATTTACCATTTCATCTGATGAGAGACATTTCCATTTAGATTTCAGACCCCATTGTGATGGTACTCCTGAAAGTAACTGGAGTCTTTTTTTATCTCTCTGTAGTTCTTTAAGTCTGGGCAATTACAATAGGAAGAAAACATATTAAAGATTTATAAGGAAAATTGCCAAACAGGAGCCTCAGAACAATCAGGTACTCAGGTGGCTGAGGTTCATAAATTGCATTATTTTGTAGTTCGCATCTGGAAGATGAATGGGATGCAAAGGACTTTATTCATAGTTCACCTCTTTTGCACTAAAATCCAGAATAGTAAGACTGTGATTGAGCAGTGACAAGGTACTGCAAATTGTTTGGCTCTCTGTTTGCCTTGGGAGCATAGAGCCATAACTGAATTTCAATTTCCAGCTAAGTACACTTACTGAAAATCAACATTTCTGCACATTTGCTAGGTAAAAAATTAAACTGGCAGTAAAGCCTGTAAAGACACAAGTCTGACAGATTCATTCTCTGCAGTTTTCTGCAATTTACCCAGCCTTCTGTATATAAAATTTAAAAAACCTTGCAGAGAAATCTAAGAAGTTGCCTCTCATTTTTACAGGCTCAGCCACTTTAAAGCATTTATTCTAGCTTTTATTTTGTTGTTGTTGTTTTATTCTTGTAACTGAAAAGTGCCAAGGCAGCAAATTAGTTAGTTAAATCGTTTCCCCTTCTTCAGAAGAGGAACCATGAAAGCAAAAATCAAAAGCAGGTTATCCTTGAATACACAGACCCACACATGCACATGATATGATGAGATTACTCTGATGGCTTCCATACTTATTTGGTTCTGACTGGTGTGCAGAAGCTTTCAAAACATATAATCAAGCATACTGACAGCTTTTCGGGATGGACCTTATCTACTGCCAGTGCCAACAGGGCCATCAAATAGTGCTTACTAACCTGCCAACAAGTGATAAATTTCATGATTTGATCTGATTTAGATTCAGGCAGCTATTTTAGGCCCTAACTCAACGTGGCCAGTTTACCACAGGAGTATGGGAGTAGTCGCATGGAAGTACTACAACAGGATTTGATGAATAGCTGAACTAGTCGTGCAATTAAAATGTTTCATGTGTATATATACTAGACTGGAGCCTTTGGCCTCAGTCCTGCAATGAACTCTTCACAGATGAACCCCTTTAGAGTAGGACTACCACACGACCTGGCTGGGATCCAGGCAGGTGCAAGGTTCTGACCCCACAGAATTCCTTCCAGTACTAGGGCAATGGCAAACATTTACCAACTCTTAAAGTCAGGTTTCAGCTTTTCAGAATGTTGTTGGTTCACAATTACTTGTTTCTTTAATTTCAGATGTATAGATATATACAAAGCAGGGCTTTTCTACCTATATAAAACCTCAATGACACTTCAGAGGGCTTGATTCACAACTGTTATTCCAGCTTTATAATTTGTAAATCAGCTAAAATCCATGGAGCTAAGTGCAGTGGCAAATAAGGATACAGAATATCTAAATCCATTTTTCATCCTTTGGTTAACTGGGGTTATTTTTGATAGTGCACTTACCACTTACTAGGGCTATGCAAAACGGCTATGTCTCATTTCGATTTCAGATTCGGCCATTTTGGAGGACAGTGATTCATTTTGGTGTTTTGGATCACTGTTCCATTTCAACTTGGCCGAATCTGTTTAGGAGTTTCAATGCTGTTTCAGAGATTCAGCCGTAGGCTATAAAGGGGTATCACTAAAATGCCTGTAACTTTGGCATTTCTTGCCTGATGCACATGAAAATTACAGGGATGGTAACCCCTTCTGAGGGCATGAAGCTTGCCAGGTTTCAAGGAGAAGGTTCAGGGGTTCTTGTGAAACTGCACCTCAAACTGTTCAAAGCAAAACTCATGACATGTGTGACTTTGTGTTCGTTAAGGCACAACGGGATGAAACCAGCAGGGATGGTAGCCTGTAACAGGGGGCCTTCCTGGTGCCAGTTAGATTTCCGCCCACCTACCCACCTGTTTCTGAGACAACTGCCTGCCTCTCTTTTTCCTGCCATGCCTTGATGGAAAACTGATTCAGATGTTTCCCAGGTGGGTGGCTGTCCATTTAGGTGTCTTGGGGTGACATCCATTCCGCAGCCCCATACCTCCCCTAACACTGTGGCCCATGCCTCGCATATTGCATCCTTCATCACCTCCAGCTGTGGTCCCTCTCTGGGACCTTTGGCTCCCCCTTAGGCCCTGGCTCTGCCCTCAGGCCAGTCAGAATCCTGAGCCACTTGCTCTGGGCATTCCTTGCGGACAAGCCTATGAACTTCACTCCATCAACCTCCTAGATACAGAAACTCATGGACTCAATATAGACATTGGATTTATGACACACTACAACCTGCCTGACATTTGACTCCCCAAGTACCTCTCCACTTTTACCTGCTATATCACCCTTCCCCCCTCCCCACCGAGTGGGTCCCTCACTCCTGATACCTCAATTTACATTTTCACTGGCTTTCTTGCCTGCATTGCATGCCAGCCTCTGGCTTTTTCACTATTCATTCCATCCAGGAAGAGCAGGGGGCCTCCCCAGGGTGGGTGAGATCTCGGTCTGCCTACCTGTTTCTCAGCCAACCGCCTGCCCCTCTTTTACCTGCCATGCCTTCATGGAAAACTGATTCATATATTTCCCAGGTGGGAGGCTGCCCATTTGCCCTGAAGTCTAGGGGTGACATGCATCCATTCTGAAGCTCCATACCTCCCCTAACACTGCAGCCTATGCCTTGCAGATGGCATCCCAGGCAGCTAAGCTCACCTGGAGCCTCACAACTCCTACCTGTCTGATGCTGGGGTCTGGTGCTTCTGGACCCCAACATGGAAAACATGCCATTGGCCCACATTGGCAGCACCTCTGGTGCAGGAGACTGGTTGGCGGATTTTTCCTTTTAGCAGAGATATGCACAGATTTCCCACTTTTGCAAAGAGCTCTGCAGGCTGGCAGAGCTCCAGCCTGCAAGAGTTTCTTGCAAAAAGGACGGTAAACCCCCAACCCTGCCTGAAGGGGTAGGGAGGGAGAGGGGGAAAGGGTGAGACCTAAGTCACCCAAGGCTTGGCGCAGGCTCATTTTTCCCTCCTGGAGCCTGTCAGGTAAGTGGGGCTTGCAGGGACTAGCAGGGCTGGGGGTCATGGATGGGGGGGCACCGGCAGGACTGGTGGCAGGCCCTGGATGGCAGGTGCAAGTGCAGGTGTGGGTGATTGCCAGGGCTGGGAGGTGGGGTTGAGGGCTGTGGGAAGAGATAATTGACCCGAGCAGGCTCCATGCTTCCATGTGCAGCTTCAGAGAAACCACACATGGAAGCGTGGAACCCACCTGGCTGATAGCACGCAGCTCCTGGACCATGCACCACAGGGCAGGCTGGGAAGGCTCCAGGCTTCCATATGCAGCTTCCCACACTCCTGTAGGATGCTGAACAAAGAGGCACAGATCAGGCCAATAGCGTGCAGTTCCTGTACCCACCCCTCCACACACACTCACACCTGACTACAAACTCCACACTCTCATGCCCACACCCCCCACAAACCTCACTCCCACCC